TTAGATAGTGTATTTTATGGAAACTTCCCTGGTTCTGCAGGCCTTCTCTTCACCCAACAAAACTTTAAACCCAACAAAACTCTACCTGTCTCCTTAGTCTTTCTTACCTGTGCTTTTGGAGAACATATCCAAAAATTATTTTCTCTGAACAATGTCCTGAGTCATTTCTCCTATGTTTTCTTTCAGTAATTTTAGTTCCTAGTCCTATGTCTGTTTTTTTTAACTCACTTGGAGTTGATTTGACTAAAAGGAGAGGGAGAAATGCAGCTTCAGCATCTGCAGATAGAGACCTGGCTTCCCTACCATCATTCACAGAAGACACAGTCTCCTACCCAAACCAAACTGACTGTAAACTTGCATATTTGCTCCAGGTTCTCCATCCTGTACATTGCGTTCTGTGCTTGTTTTATGCCAGTACCATGCTGTTTTGGTTACAGTAGAAAATTCACCAAAATTATCATTGCTATTGTGCCTTTTTTGATCTTTCATTATCTTGCTTGGCTGTAAAACTGTTTTTAGAAAAAAGACATTTTATGAGAACCAACCAGCAAAGGTGGGAGGTGCCAACGAACTGAAAAAGTGGATCCAGGCTTGCACAAAGCATAACAACACATCAGTACGCATAGATAGAGCACCTGTTGAGCAGCAGGAGGATGGAGGATCCTCATACCCCAAGTTGATATGTTAAGCTAGACAAAGGCGTGCCTGAGCTTACTGTTTAAAATTAAATCAACAGTCAGTTGTGAGCTAAGAACAGTCTGGGCACCCATGGTCCTCAGGAAATATTTCGCAGTTTTAATGCCTGATTGTTATTTTATAGTGCTTGTAAAGCAGGCTAGGGTATTCTGGCTGCTACTTTAACAAAAGAAGTAATTTTTTAATCAATATAGTATACATATATATATATACATATATATGTATATATGTATATATATATATATATATATACATTAGATTATAGTATTCTTTATTATTGGCCTCATGCTACTTTTATATCTATCACAACTTTGATGGTGCAAATTAAATACTCAGCCTTATTTCATGTCATTCTATTGTTTCCTTAATATCCTAAACATAAACTTTATTTTCACTAATTTTTCATGACAAAATAAAATATGACAAGATAAAACAAAAACATCACAAGGAAAAGAGCCCAAGATAAGGTACAAGAGTCAAAAAGACCCACTCAGAAGTTCCATAGAAACACTAAACTGAAAGCTATGATATATACACAGCGGATCTGGTGCAGGCCCATGTAGTACAAGCCCTGTGATTGCTACTTCAGTCTCTGTGAGTTCATATAAGCGTTGTTCAGTTGATTTGGGGGGCCTAGTTCTTTTACTATCCTTCATGTGTTCTGGCTCCCACACTCCTTCTGTCTCCCCTGTGCAGGGTTCCCTGGATAAGAAGTATTTTTGCTAGGGCTGCAGAGAGAGCATGTACTCTGACACCAGCCCCAGGAGTTTTGTCCGTATTGGCCTTTGAATGAAACTGTTCTCCATCAGCTCAGGCATTTGCACACTTGTCCTCCAGGCGGTCAAGCTGTTTTGGGCAGTTTGTGAGGTGCAGCCTTCCTTGCTGGAGAAAGTAAGTCAGTGGGAGATGTGAACTGCAAGGGTAGAGCCTCACTGTTCTTCTGGTTCATTCTGCTTTGTGGTGCTTTCAGTTAAACACATGTTCTCTCAGCTTTCTGCTGTGGCGCTATGCCTTCTGCTTTCTCCCAAGCCTACCCATATCACTCTGGAACCACAAGCCCAAAGAAACCCTTCCTTCTAGAAGTCACCTTGGCCGTGGTGTTTTAGCCGTAGCAACAGAAAAGTCACTTATACTACCTGTCTGCTCAGGAAATTACTCAGACTGTGATCCTACAAAACTTTGCAGAGCTTATTAACCTTAAAATTTTCCAGTCCTTCCTCCCCAGGCATCCAATCCTGTAGCTCGGAGACATGGTCTCCAAATATCTATCACTCATTCACCTGTCTTTCACACCTCGCTATCTTTCTACAACCTATCAGGGGACAGAGAAAATGAAAATTCCTGCAAGTGATTTCCATCTCAGAATGCAATTATTGGGATGCAATAAAATATAGCGGGTGTGTTCTGATACAAAAAAAAGGCTGTGGGTCTCCAGGAACAGATGCATCATAATGACCTCGTTGCTGTAAAATCTTCTGGGGATAGTGCCATGACAGCAAGATGCAGGGAGGATGGGATGGATGGTCTGTCCTTATCAGAATCCAGAGTCTCTATGAGACTCAACAACATTTCTTTTCAAAGAAGTATAAAGTCAGAGTGACCATGAGATAGGCGTGAGAAGATACAAGATGCTAGGCAAAAGTGATCACCTCTTTATGGGAACAGAATGACAAGCAAAGATGATTAGTTTATAAATAGCAGATTTTTTGGTTAGGGATGGAGGAAAAGCATAAAGAGAAGCCCAAATGTGTGGGGGTCGAATACAGGGCCCTGCTGTTTAATGAGTTATTCCACTTTTGAGAGAGCAGTGACAGGAACCTACCTACAGATGAGAAACAGAAAAATATAGCTACTGTTTCAATCTATGTATATTTCACTTGTGGTTCAGCCCTGAGTAAGAATTGGTAGATGCTGTGCACTTACATTTTGGGGGGGGGGCGGCGGATTTCTTATCTATCTATCTATCTATCTATCTATCTATCTATCTATTTTATTAATTACAGTTTATTTACTTTGTATCCCAGCTGCAGTTCCCTTCTCCATTCCCTCCCTTCCCATCTTCCCTCCATCATCTCCTCCCATGCCCCTCCCCCGGTCCACTGATAGGGAGGTCCTCCTCCCCTTCCATCTGACCCTAACCTATCAGGTCTTATCAGGACTGGCTGCATTGTCTTCCTCTGTGGCCTGGTAAGGCTGTCCCCCACTCACGGGGGGTGGGGGTGGGGAGGAATCAAAGAGTCAGCCACTGAGTTCATGTGAGAGACAGTCCCTGTTCACCTTACTAGGGAACACACTTGGAGCCTGAGCTGCCATGGGCTACATCTGTGCAGGTGTTCTAAGTTATCTCCATGCATGGTCCTTGGTTGGAATATCAGTCTCAGAAAATACCCCTAGGTCCAGATTTTTTGGTTCTGTTGCTCTCCTTGTGGAGCTCCTGTCCCCTCCAGGTCTTTCATCTCCCCCTTCTTTCATAAGAGTCCCTGCACTCTGCCCAAAGTATGGCTAGGAGTCTCAGCATATGCTGTGATATCCTGCTTGGTAGAGTCTTTCAGCGGCCCTCTGTGATAGGCTCCTGTCCTGTTCCCTGTTTTCTCCCTCTTCCAATGTCTATCCTCTTTGCCTTTCTGAGTGAGAATTGATCATCTTACCTGGTGCTCTCCTTCATGCTAGGGATCACAGTATGATCTGACTGGAATACAGAAATGACCTTAGTACACAACTTTAATATCAAACAATGACAGTAAGGTTAGTTTATAGAAGGAAGCAGCCACGTTTGAAAGTGACATCTAATTGAGGGGCAGACAAAGTGATGAATCAAAGAAAGATTTGACGGAGTGAGTCAGAAATAAGACACACCCAACTCGCACAAGATGAGAACAGGAAAGGGTAGCTACTTAAGAGTGCTACAAGGAGAGAAAGTTTTTACCAAGAGTTTCTTACGGAGACAGTTTTACAGAGAAAGGTCACAGACAGAACAAGCCAGACACAGGTAAAGACAGTACATCCCAGAGATTGAGAAGGAGCCAGAAGATTAAAACATATTGCCAACCTATTTTGAGGCCAGGCAGAAAAATTCAGTCAGAAGTAAGAGAAGTCAATTTGAATCAGTCAACTTGGAGAGGAGGTTAGGCCAAACAGGTGAGGGGAAAAAGCCAACAAGAGTTAAGAGAGAGCTAGAAAGGATGGAAATGACTCTTATTCCCTCATCTGAGGAAATAAGCACAGCATTTACAAGACACACTGTTAATCCTATTTTATGTAGGCTATGAGTTATAAGAATTGATAGTATAGTTTCTTAGGGAGACAGAGCAGAGTTACCTTGAACATGGAAGCTGATAATTAGCTGTTAAACAAAGGTTCAGACAGATGCACTAAAAAATACTAAAATAGTTCTAATTCAGCAATATAGCAATACAGGTCCTTTATCTTGGGCTCCTTCAGACCTACATACATCACTTAGCAGCCTTCATAACAGGGGTCTCCTGGAACTTGCTCCTCTACTGTGGCCCGTAGGCATTAGGTTTTCAAACCCTACTTTATTTGGGGGTTTCTTAAAACTTATACCTCCCTTCCATCCCCCCAATCCCAGACAGGGGAAAAAGAAGGTTGTAAGGGAAAGGGGACATAGACATCTTTACTTCTTCTTGCTGGGTAGGGTCATAGGATTCTTTTGGGGCAATACCAGTATCCGTTGTCAGGAAATGCAGAAGTCCAGGTAACCAGCAAACCAGCAAGCCAGCAAGAGCAGCAAGCTGTCCACCTCTGACTCCTCCAAGCTGGTTCCCCTTTTTCCCTTAGTCTATCATATTTATACTCCTCAGAGTCCTCAGAACTAATTCTGCCCTTTCTTTCTCTGGGCTATCATAAACCTCAAAGTCCTCAGAATTCGACAAATGCCAGTTGGCAAGGAACCCTCTCAGAGCCCTCATGAGGCAAATAGCCTGCTGCTGTGGACAAACTGAATCAGTCACACCTGGGATGACACAAAAACATGTTTACATCCAAAACAGTGGCCTATGTTGGTCTGGTGGTTAATATTTAAATATCACCCAGTCTATGTAAAACAATGTTTATTGAGCAACAAACTGAGATGGCATGTTTTTCCCTGGATACTCAGGATCATTTTAAGACCCAAGTAATCAGAACATCACAAAAGCAGGGAATGTTCTGTGAATCAGGGTTGTCTGTGGAATAGTATAAGTACACAGTCACTTTTTAGTTGGTTTTTGGCACAAATAGCATAGCTTCCTCCTTTCTTGCATGAGTGTGAAATAGGCCCTTACTTCTGGATAAAGTTAGAAGAGTCAGACCAAATCTTCAATCTTCTCCAGGAAGGCTGTCTTCTCACAAATCCAAGAAATTTCAGCACTACAGCGAGAAATGTAAATATTCCCTCTTTCAAAGTAAGCACACCCTTTGGATCCATTGAACTTGGCATGTTCCTTATCACTAAATCTGAAAAGCAATTGATTTAAAAATCATTAAAATTGCTATATATGAAAGTTAAGGAGAATTTAGTTTTCTCAGTTACCCTTAGAGGAAAAACCTTATGCTTTTGTGAGACTGCTTCCTCTACAAAGTATCAGGAATGATAATGCCAGCACATCTGAGTTCTTTATTTCAGGTTAATCGAGATCCTAGGTAAAACATTTCTTTAAGAAGAATATATTTAGGAGGCTGGAGAGATGGTTCAGAGGTTAAGAACACTGGCTGTTCTTCCAAAGGTCCTGAGTTCAATTCCCAGCAACCAGAGCTCAATTCCCAGCAACCACAGGTGGCTTATAACCATCTATGATGATATGTGGTGCCCTCTTCTGGCCTGCAGGAAGAATTCTGTATAAATAATAAATCTTAAAAAATTAAAAGAAGAAGAAGAAGAAGAAGAAGAAGAAGAAGAAGAAGAAGAAGAAGAAGAAGAAATTTAACTCTGAATGACATGCTAGTATAATAGTGTCACAAAAGTTGTGTGAATAACCAACCATTATCTTATTGGATTTAAGGCCCACTCCATGAGAGGGAACCCATGCCTGACACTGCTCACATTTTTTTATTGGCCTGTTTGCTTTCTAAAGAGAGAGAAAAATAGAATGTGACGTTGGATGAGTGGGGATGTGGGGAGGATCTTAAAGAAGATGAGAGAAAAGAAGCCATGATAAGAATATACTATATAAAATTCAATTAAGTTAGAGCCAGGCATGGTGGCATGAGCTGTAATCCCAGTACTCAGGGAGGCAAAGGCAGGTGGAGCTCTGTGAATTTGAGTCCAGCCTCATCTATAAAGCAAGTCTAGAACAGCCAAGGCTACACAGGGAAACCTGTCTTGAAAACAACCAAAAAAGTCAATTAAATAAAAAGAATATTTGAGTTCTGGCTCAGGAATTACTACTCCCGCTTGTAATATGGAACTGCACAAATGGAATTTACCCAGTGCAGGTTACATTAGAGCTGATAGATCTTTTTTTAAATAGTTCAATTTTTAGTACAAAAACTAGAAAAATAAAGTCATACTATATAAAAAGTTATTTCATTTTACTATGAAAAAAATGTAATTATGTATGCTTTCATATATACTGGAGGAAAAACGAGTCTGAGAGAGGAAATGATGTGCTCAGGCAATGAGAAAATTGTGTCCAGCTTTTGGGCTCAACTTTAATGATAACCCTTAAACATTGTCCTTAAAAAATTATGTATGCTCAACCTAATTCTGTGTTACACTCACTGCCTTTATCGAGGGATGCACTCTGGGATGCCATGCTACTTTATTCGTCAGAGATAAGCTTGTTAAATATTTCTACTTGAATGTATCTTAGTCAGAAAGAACGTATTCAGGACCCGTGGAAGAAAGACACTGTATAAGCCTGAAGCACAGTCTCTCTAAGATGGGTGTAGGGAGCTGGGGTATCTGACAGCTGCATGACCTAGGGTCATGATGCACAGGCTCTGACCCTGAACCGTGGGCTGTTTCCTCCACATGTTCACAGGAGCCAGCAGATGAAGCAAAACTGACTAGTATTTATATAGAAGAGGAGATATGTGTATTCTAACCCAGGAAGTGGGATGTGTTTCCATGGTGCTGTGGTTCTACTCCAGGAAGGTCTCTGTCTAGCATCCCTCCTCTCCTGGGGTCAACTGTGAACACCACCCCCCAAGTTATTCTGCTTTTTAAATAAGTAGCTGTCGTTTTTATCTGTATTGTTTTGAGTGAGCCTTCTGCCATCATTACTAGTGTGAAAATAGACTAACAAAATATGGCTAGCAAGGATGATAAGAGCCTGGGAGACATATATTTAAATAGAAAAAGTTCTGGAAAAATCTTTGGAAAATGGATATTTAGGGAGAAAAAGAATAGACATATCATTATTTGGTGAGCCAAAGATGAATCCCAGCAGCTTTGAACAAAAATAAAATGGTTATAATTCAGTTTAGGAAATGTTGATGACACACATTAAAAAGTAAAACAGAGTGAGTTGGATCACTGAGTACTTGTAGGATAGAAGAAGAAAGATACTAGTGATATCAACCCTCATTTAGTGTAAAAATTATAGATTAAAAAAAATGGGGAACAGACCTAAACAGAATCCTCAAAGAGGGATGTCAAATGGCGGAGAAACACTTAAAAAATGTTCAACATCCTTAGCTATCAGGGAAATGCAAATCAAAATGACTCTGAGATTCCACCTCACACCCATCAGAATAGCCAAGAAAAAAAATTCAAGTGACAAAACATGCTGGAGAGAATGTGGAAAAGGATACCCTTCCCCGTTGCTGGAGGGAATGTAAACTTATACAACCACTTTGGAAATTAATCTGGTGCTTTCTCAGAAAACTGGGAATAGTGCTACCTCAGGACCCAACTATTCTACTCCTGGGCATATATTCAAAAGATGCTCAACCATACAACAAGGACATTTGCTCAACTATGTTCATAGCAGTTTTATTCGTAATAAGCCAGAATCTGGAAACAACATAGATGTGCCTCAACCAAAGAATAGATACAGAAATTGTGGTACATTTACATAATGGAATAGTATTCAGCTATTAAAAACAAGGAAATCATGAAATTCACAGGCAAATAGATGGAACTAGAGAAGATCATCCTGAGTGAGGCAATCCAGAAGAAGAAAGACATGCATGGTATATATTCACTTATAAGTGGATATTAGTCATATAATAGACATATATAGACATATCTATAGACCTTAAGACATATATAGACATATCTATAGACCTTAAGAAGCTAAACAACAAGGAGGCCCCTAGGGAAGATGCTCCATTCTCATTCAGAAGGGAAAACAGGATAAACACTGGAAGCAGTAGAAGTGAGGGAACAGGATGGGAGCCTACCATAGATGTCCTCTGAAAGACTCCACCAACCAGGGGATCAAAGCAGATGCAGAGACTTACAGCCAAAACCCAGAATTTCTAAAACAACCCTGTACAATAAAAGATATTCTGGAGGTATATCCATCCCTGATCTCAAGCTGTTCTATAGAGCAACAGTAATAAAAACGGAATGGTAATGTCATTGAAACAGACTGGTGGATTAATGGAATCAAATTGAAGACCCAGAAATAATCCCACAAACCTAACGAATACTTGATTTTTGACAAAGAAGCCAAAACCATACAATAGAAAAAAAGACAGCATCTTCAACAAATGGTGCTGGTCTAACTGGATGTCTACATGTAGAAAAATGCAAATAGATCCATATGTATCACCCTTCACAAAACTAAAGTCCAAGTGGATCAGAGACATCAACATAAAACCAGACACACTAAATTTGTTCAAGAAAAAGTGGGGAAGAGCCATGGACTCATTGGCACAGGAGACAACATCCTAAATAGAAAACCAACAGCACAGGCTCTAAGATCAACAATCAATAAACGGGATCTCATGGAACTGAAAAGCTTCTGTAAAGCAAAGGACACCGTCAACAGGACAAAACAATTGCCTACAGACTGGGAAAAGATCTTCACCCGCCCTACATTGGACAGAGGGTTAATATCCAGAATATATAAAGAGACTTTTAAAGACACAAAAGATTTGTTTTGTTATAGCTTTAAATAACTGCAAAGCTTCATTTTCCCAAGTTGTACAGATTTGAGGTGTACTTTCAACACTGTCATTGAGACTACACGGCAGCAGATTTTGCGTAGGACATTTGCCATGTGATATGATTAGTAGGGCCTGCATCATGAAGCTGACTTACCTTCTGTGAGAAAACGGCTGACAATTACTTACTATGAGCAAATATGGTTGAGTATGTGTTTACATGACAAACACCACTCATGAAGGTTGAAAGGATGGAAAACGAAATAGCTGAGTGGATGAATAGGTGGCCTAAAATGCTCGGCCTTGATATGATCACATTTGAGCTGGACAATCTTAGACTAACCACACAATATCTCTGTGATAATATTTTTGATTATGCTGTGGGAATATGGAAGTGCGTCCTTCAAAGGCTTATATTTACAAAGTACTTTGAGCATGCAGTTAATATGTATGTTAATAAGGAATTAATATGTATCCTTAATAAGGAAAACAACCAAGAGGCACATGAAGTTCAGTCCATTGGCCATGCGACGTCTGCAGGGAACTGTATATGAGTGCTTCACTGATGGGATTCCACAGTGGCAAGGCCCTTGAAAACCCTTTGTCCAAGGGACAAGATCCCTAGAGGCCCTGTCCTACTTGGCAAGGACCTGTGGTGAATTTTGTTGGCTTCTATGCTTGTTCCCTAGATCGCATGCACTACAAGCGCTCTTTGCTTTCGCAATGCTGTTGATACTCATAATAATATTTAGTTTCACTTTGTCAGTCACAGGCAAAGTGAGGATCGAGCTGGCTGAAGGTCCTGGGATGGTTCTGTGTTTTTCTCAATATTCTTTTGAGGGGTAAAACGCTCATTTCCTCTCTATTCATCTCTATCGATCCTTCGATCCTTCGGATGTGACCATTAATCCTGGGTCTCTTGGGACATGTAATCACGTCCCTAGAGAAGTAGCGGCAGTCACACTGAGGAAGCCTGTGCGAGTTGTGGAGAGCAATGGGTCCTGCTTGCATAACTGTTTTGAGGAAGCTTCGTCTGTTCAACAGAGACTAAAAAAAAAAAAAAATGGGGAAGACAGGTCTGATCATAGAAATTGGGGAAGTTATGTCTGATCAGCAGAGACTTAAAAAATGAGGAAGCTGTGTTTGATTAATAGAGACTTTTAAGAAGTGGTTCTTAGAAAGATGGTACCAGAAATTGATAAGTGCATATCAGGAAAGGTTGCTTGGTACTATGGACACGTCTCTGTCTGCAATTTAAAGAGCACTGTTATAGAGGGATGCTATTTGATGAATGGACTTATACCCACAAATGTCTTTCACCTTGCATAACTATGTAATTACATTTGCTGCCAACTGGTTCTGTGCTCGTGTCCACGAATATGCCTAGCTAGACATTTTTTTTTTCCTTACTGAAATTGTGCTTTGTAGTGCAAAATATGTTTGGGGTTATTGACCCAGCAGGAAGAGAGAAGGAGGAAGGGAAACTGTTGGGGTTTTTTTGTAATGAGGGGCTTTTGTGGTGCTGATGTTATGATTTCTTTAAATAAAATAACCACTGTTATTAATCACTGCTCAGGTGAACAGGATTGTGGTTGTATAAAGACGGCTTGAGCTATTTGGGACCACTTGCTTGAAAGTCAACAGGCAGTCAGTGTCGTCATTTTACTCCTGCCCCTTCCCAGACTCAGGACCTGGACCTGCAGCTGGATCTGGCCTCCAGCAGTGCATTGCTCTGAATTTGCAAATAGATGGAATTACTTACCAGTGTCAATGTATATTCCATGCGAAAGCTCTCTCTCTCTCTCTCCTTTTAAACAGTGTACTTCTTTTTCATATCTGTGTTTATAATTCTTTCAACCTACATCAATTTTCTCAGAGTTCTATGGAAAGCTTGATCTTTCACTCCCCACAGTTAGATACTTACAGGGTTGGACAGGGAAACGAGCCATCCTCCCACAGCCAGTTTCTGCCAGCAGAGTTCCAGGACAATCCCAGCCAAAAGAAAGAAAATGTGAGTGATGGCTGTGATTCAAGGAAATCCTGGGGGAAGGAGAAAGAACAAGTGAGAGGCCCATGTGCCCATTTGCAGAGGAAAGATTAAATCATTAAATTCATCTGATGGTTGAGGATATAACTCAGAGGTATATTCCTTTCTTAGCATATGCTGGGTCTTGGGTTCCATGCTCAGTTCCTTAATTCACTTAATAGCTCTCATTCAAAACCTACACATTTCCTATCGTGACACAGAAGCATCACACATTTGCTTTTCATTGTGTGGTTAATTTCTGTAGCTGCTGGCAGAGAGTCAACCATACCCTTTCTTTGATGCTGTCAATCTTCACCAGAGTGGCATTTTTACTAGTACAATCCTTTCTGCTGTCACTCCAGGATTTCTCTTCATTGATTGTGAAATGATAGCAACTGTTTCCATGCCATTGCCATGCCTTGGGACAAGGATTGCGTTTATGGTCTGCAAAGGAAAGTATATTCAAAAGTACAGGTGGGTGAAGAGACTATAGCAGCCTTTCGAAACCAAGTTATGTACACAAACCATAGACAGGAGCATAAACACCCTGAAACATACCGTGCCAGGACCCTGTGGAAGCAGGGTAACTGAGTTGGGGTTGGACCATGGGGATTTTCTTTACAGGTTCAGCCTTTTAATATTCTTAGCCAGAGGACTGAGAAATAATACACGAGAGGTTAAAGTATTCCCGCTGATAGCATTTGGAAATGGTTACAAAATTCTCCCGTGTTTTCCAAAATATTAAAGAAACATCTGTAATTCCTTGTCCTCTGTACATTTAGGGTAGCACGGTCAAGAGATTGTTGAAAGACCTAACACCTAGGTGCTGCTTGTGGGGACTTTGATCAGGGTGACAGCTTTGATCTGGCTTTTTTGCAGATGTAAATCAAATTACCGGAAGTGTGGATGAGGAATTCCTTGCAGAGCTTGATAGCCATCTGCCTCTGCCTCTCCAGGAGGGCTGAGATCTGGGACTGGAGAGATTCCTCTGTGAGACCCTTCCTGGAGCTGTTCAGTGGTTCAGACAGGTTGTCTTGCTGTGGATGGATGATTTTCTGAAGTTGACTCAACTTCTCTGAATCTGAATTAATATCATTAGACATCTGTAAAACTGCAAGACATAACAAGACAAGCGCAGGTGACCCGCCACTCTGGGAAGGCTGCAAGGCTGACGCAAGAGTGTGGTCCTCTGGCAGCCAGGGATCCCGTCTCTCCCTCCTTCTCCTTTTCCTCCTCTTCCTCCTTCCTCTTCCCCCTTCATTTTTTTTTCTTTTTTCTCTTACTTCCCTTTTTCTTTCCTCCCTTTATTTATTTCTTTCCCCCTTCCTTTTCCCCTCTCTTTCTTTCTTTTTCCCTCATAAATGAAGTTGTCCTGCTCACACTCCCTTTCTCTCTCTTCTCTTCTCTTGTCTTTCTTTCATCCTTTACACATTTTTGCCAATAATCCCAGACTGGTCTTGGATCTTAGACCACTCCAACCATTTCTAGTTGTGGATCCATGCATCTACTTAAAAACATCTTTATTTTCATTAAGCTCTTCCACTGAACCATTAGCACAGTGCATAGTGCGTGTAACAACTTCTGCAGCAAAAAAATTACCGTGCATTTACTGGTGAGTCAACACCACTCCACTTTAATTTGTATTGGGGTGTGCATCTTTTGGAAGATAAGCCACTTATTCTCCTAACCGCATCTACCGAATCTCTGTTGCTTCAACAGGAATATCAGATTTATTTCCCAAAGAACAAGATAAATCATTAGTCAGTGTCTATATGTCCAAATCACAACTATCATTGACTTCTTTTATATAAGGAACTAAATGAATAGATCACAGCGGACATTAGCATCTGTGATGATCGATCTCTATCGTCAGTGTGACAGGGTTTAGAATCACCAGCAGACAAACCTCTGGATGTGCCTATGCAGCCATTTCCACATTTCGCTGAAATATGAAGACCTACCCTGAATGTGGGCAGCTCCGTCCCCTGGGCTGAGGACCTAACCCGAGAGTAAAGTAGGAAACCAGCAGCGTGACCTTCACCTCCTGCTGCTCTCTGACTGCCAGTCTCTGTGACTTCCCACCACGAGGGACTGTAGCCCTTCTTAATTAAACCATGGACCAAAAGACACCTTCCTTCTTTAACCTGCCTTCTTGTTGTTGAAGTTGTTTGCCACACCAACAAGAAACAGTAACTCACACAGTATCTTCTTAGAAACTCTTTTGACTACAAGGCTCCTGAAGGTAAGTTCTGATCAAATCAATCCTCTTTACTCCACATACTTTATCATCTACGCGTCCTCAGGACGGCTTTCCGCTACCACACGCCCCACCCAGGCCACCTGCAGCTGCACCGTGAATGAGAGAGTATCCTCTCAGATTCTGCTAGGGAGTGGCTTCCACTGTAAGACACATGGATAGTTCCTTTCTGGCCGGCAGGTGTGACATAACTCCCACCCTTCTCTTCCTCGTCTATGTGATTCTCCTCATTCACGAAAGTCGCTCAGATATTTTCTCTACCCCAGGAAGGTCATGGGTGAGCAGACTGAGCTAAGCTACTGCTAAGCTTCAAGGTAAATGAAGTGCCCTACCCTTCTGCAAATCCATCTCCCCATTGCTCTCCTGTTTTCCGCTAAGAGTAACAAACGCGTGTGTCTGCTTAGAAAGGAATTTGTCCGTTTTAACTAATAACTAAGAAAAGAAAGGTGGTTGTCCTCACGGTGTGATTTAGTTCATCAAAAGACAAAAATGACTGTGGGATAGAATTCCCATAGCAGTGAAATACGCCCGTTGTTAGTTTGCCGTGAAGGGGTGGTGGAGAATGGAATGGATCCGGGATAACTGACGTGATCAGAGAATTCCATGTGCTAGTACCTTATCCCTCCTGGGTTCACATGCTACACAAGAGCTTTCTAATCGATTTTCTTTTGTTTAATACAAATGTACTTACACATAGTCCCCAAGGTCACCAGCCCCATTACCAGCACCAGGCAGATGGTCAACAGGCTCAAAGCAGCTCCTCGCCAAATGGGGGTTTGAGCTGGGTGTCCTGGATACCAACAGCGCATGAGCAAACAGAAGCACAGCATGCTGTTACTTTCGGGGTTAGTTCTCTCACGCAGGGAGCTTCTAGATATTAAGTTTTTCCTTGATTTCTTAACGTCAGTGTTTAGAAAATTCCTAATATGAAGCATTTTGAGGTCCCTTCTTCAGCTCTTTGTTTTCCCACCTTCCTTGCAAGAGTGAAATTTTCTTAATCGGGTTTTTATTTGTCTGTTTTACATCAGTCTCTATCTTTCTCCTTCAAGTCCACTGATTTCATGACTGAGGTGTGGAGATGAGTTCTCTGGAATGGTGTGGACAATAGAAGAGACCCTATTTTTTAAGACACAAATCTCCAAAAGGAGATGGCTCTATCTTACTTTACAAAGTTAGACTGTACTTTTAAAGGCAATACTATCCTGATAGAATAATCTTATGTCATTATTTATCCTGTTTTCTATATGATAAATAGCAAATTAATTCTGGGTGAAAATGTATTGTCTCATCTGTGAATAGCCTAGAGAACCAGCAGGGAATTCTTGGACTATGTTTGTCTTTAAAAAAAAAAAAATCTGTCACCTTCCTCTTCCTTTATTCCCACAATGAGTACAGTAGCATTGGTAGGATGGTCAGACAACCCCTTTTCTCAAAGGTTTGGTTTGAGGGAGAATTACAAGACATAACAAAATAGATATGCATAATCACCTCCCCTTTAATAAACACTGCAAATCTGTGCTCATTACTGTTTTCTGTATCTTCCCCTAACACACGCACACACACACACACACACACACAGAGAGAGAGAGAGAGAGAGAGAGAGAGAGAGAGAGAGAGAGTGAGAGAGAGAGGGAGGCAAATCCAGGGAGCAGAAGAAAGCAATTATATGATATGGTTCAGGATAACCACTGGAACTGTGATGCAACATTTGGAAATGAAGGAGAGAGTCTTATACATAGAATTAATGTCTGGCCCTAGAACTTGACATTTCTTCAAGGCAGACATAAAGGAATGAGCTGACATTGAAAGACTGAGTCTGTCACAAACTTATATAAATGTGGACAAACTACCTAGCTCCTTCGAGACTCAGTGTTTCCATGTACATAACTACAAAAAGGGTGATATTACGTACTTTATAACTACATAACTATAAATATTGATAAATGCTCTGAATTATACTTAGGGTTCCAACGATCTTAAGTTAAAAACAGCATAAGAAAAAAAGCCAGCTCATGTTCTTTTCAGAATTAACTATACTCGACTCTTTCCCTTCAGCTAGTTATGTCGCATATCAGCAAAGGTCCCTACACTTATTTTAGAACCCCTTTTGGCTTTTGCAAGAACATCTCTCTAGCATTGCGAGCAAGGCATAAGAATCGAGGATGATCATAAATAGAAATCTCTCACTCCCAGACCCAATATCTGACAGATCCATTAACCTTTTCTTCCACAGTGAATAGCTTCATGACACTGATTCCACACAATTCACACTGGTCTTGAAAGCCCCGTGTATTCTCGTAAGGAGCCTCACTCTGATGACCTAGCCCAGGACTGTTTGTGTCTATTTTGGGGATTTTATTGCACAGATTCTCCTTCCCTTCAGTGTCAATGCCTGCATCTCAAAGCACTTAACACCGGTCATTTCCAAGGTGACAGCATGCTTTCTCTGAGCTCTTACCTTCTTTTCTTAGGTGATTGCCATCCTGATTGCTTCTCCCTCTTGCCGAATCCTGAAGCGTTAGCGTTGCATATGCCACTTTATCAGACATCGTAGGAGAGAGTGATTCTATAAATTAATGCTGCAATATCTTCAGGCCCAGTTCGGGCAGTTACTTTTCAAGGCCAGGAGCTTTTTACCCAGACAGATAATTGACACAAGACACTCCCTGCTCCTCTGTTGGAAGGACACAATGAAAGTCAAATTCTCTGTCATGAAAGTGAGAGAAATCAGAAACTTTCCTTAGGAATTAGAATGCTGCCAGCTTCTAACTGTACTGCATTGTTCCCTGTTGCGGAGGCAAGATGGTGTGTTTGTAGGCAAGCAGAATTTAAGACTTCATGTTGGAATTCCCATGATCCTTAGGGAACTCTGAGTGTTTGGAGAAAGAATAGACAGCCCACATTTCTTCTCTCCATGTGTGTGAAGCTATTTAATCCTACACTAGATCTAGATGCCAAACAGAGTCAGATAGGAAGAGCTGTGTTACATATGCCTGAATAGTGCAATAAAAAGTGTGTGTGTGTGTGTGTGTGTGTGTGTGTGTGTGTGTGATGGAGAGAGATACATGCACACAAAGACAAAGACCTGGCAATGGAGTGGTGTTGAATTATGGGAAAGAAGTTACAGGATGCTTAAATTGGGTATTGGAAGGAGTCTCCTCCTTGCTGGTGTGGTCGAGCGAAAATCCAGCACAGACTTTTTAATACTCTCAATACTTACCGTACTGAGAGAGTGATCGAGAGCAGGCAGACTGAGGCAAAGACATGCTGGCATTTCTAATTTGTTTGGTTTCATTGAGCTTGAGGGAAAAATCACAGTTACTGTCCTGCAGGACAGCCAAAACTCTTACAAAAGCCACACTATTTTTTAAACATTAAAAGACCAGAGGATGAAGTCTGGCATGTTCACAGCCATAAACAACAAAGAAATAGCCAGATATCTGTGTGTACACTGGTTGAAGGATGTCTAGCCAGTCATAGGACCTGAAGCTTCTTTAAGCTACCATCCATTTATATTTCTTTTAAAAAGTTTGACAATGTAATTTACCTACTTTACCTAAATTAGACATATAATATCTGGATTTTATTTCCAACTAAATTGGAACAAGGCCACTGTACAATGATTTAAATTGCAGCACTAAATATTTTGACAATGAAGCAGACAATAGTCAACAATAGTAAATGGCATTCTGGCTATGACAGAATTAAAAAAAACTATCACACACACACACACACACACACACACACACACACACACAGCCATTTATTGGCCACCATTTTAGTCTGCTTTCTGTTTCTGTAATAAAACACTATAACTAAAAGGAACTTGCGGAAGAAACCATTATTTTAACTTAAGGCTCAGTGCCCATCATAAAGGGAAGGCAGGGCAGGAACTCAAGTCAGAAACCAAGAATTAGGAACTGAAGAAAAGGTCATGGAGGAGTACAGCTTACTGATTTGATTCCCAGGATTTGCTTATCCTGCTTTCTTACACGCCTGAGGACCAGCAGCCCAGCGGTGGCACTTCCCATAGGGTCCTGGGCAATCCAACATCAATAATTAATCAAGGAAATGCCTCATAGACTTTGCTACAGGGAACCTGATGGGGGTATTATCTTAGTTGGGGTTCTTTCTTCCTGGATAAACTAACCAACTTAACCATAGAATTCACAGGGGCCTTAATGGCAGTGTTTATTTCTAATTATTCCATACTTTTTTAAAAATTTTTTATTAATTACACTTTATTCATTTTGTATCCCCCCATAAGCCCCTCCCTCCTCCCCTCCCGATCCCACCCTCCCTCCCATTTCTGCATGCATGCCACTCCCCAAGGCCACTGATAGGGGAGGTCCTCCTCTCCTTCTTTCTGATCTTAGTCTATCAGTTCTCATCAAAAGTGGCTGCATTGTCCTCTACTGTGGCCTGGTAAGGCTGCTCCCCCCTCAGGGGGAGGTGATCAACGAGCAGGCCAATCAGATTATGTCAGAGGCAGTCCCTCTTCCCATTACTATGTAACCCACTTGGACACTGAACTGCCATGGGTTACATCTGTGCAGGGGTTCTAGGTTATCTCCACGAATAGTCCTTGGTTGGAGTGTGAGTCTCTGGGAAGTTCCCTGTGTTCAAATTATCTTGTTCTGTTGCTCTCCTTGTGGAGTTCCCGTCCCCTCCAGCTCTTACTATTTCCCACTTCTTACATAAAATTCCATTCACTCTGCCCATCAGTTGGCCATCAGGCTCAGCATCTGCTTTGACAGTCTATACTGCAGAGGCTTTCAGAGGCCCTCTGTGGCAGGTTCCAAGGTTGTTTCCTGTTTTCTTTTTCTTCTGATGTCCATCCTCTTTGCCTTTCAGGATGGGGATTGAACATTTTAGTTAGGGTCCTCTCTTTTGCTTAGTTTGTTTAGATGTACAGATTTTAGTGGGTTTATTCTATGTTGTATGTTTATATGAGTGAGTATATACCATGTGTGTCTTTTTGCTTCTGGGACAACTCACTCAGGATGATCCTTTCCAGGTCCCACCATTTACCTACAAATTTCATGATTTCCTTATTTTTCATTGCTGAGTAATACTCCATTGTATAGATGTACCACAGTTTCTGCATCCATTCTTCAGTTGAGGGGCATCTGGGCTGTTTCCAGCTTCTGGCTATTACAAATAAAGCTGCTACAAACATGGTTGAGCAAATGTCCTTTTTGTGTACTTGTGCCTCTTTTGGGTATATGCCTAGGAGTGGTATGGCTGGATCTTGAGGAAGCGCTATTTCTAGTTGTCTGAGAAAGCGCCAGATTGATTTCCAGAGTGGTTATACAAGTTTACATTCCCACCAGCAGTGGAGAAGGGTTCCCCTTTCTCCACATCCTCTCCAGCATGTGTTGTCACTTGAGTTTTTCATCTTGGCCATTCTGATGGGTGTAAGGTGAAATCTCAGGGTTGTTTTGATTTGCATTTCCCTAATGGCTAATGAGGTTGAGCATTTCTTTAAGTGCTTCTCTGCCATTCGATATTCCTCTACGGAGAATTCTCTCTTTAGCTCTGTTCCCCATTTTTTAAGTGGATTACTTGGTTTCTTGCTTTTCAGCTTGTTTAGTTCTTTATATATATTGGATATGAGTCCTCTGTCAGATAAAGGGTTGGTGATGATTCTTTCCCAATCTGTAGGCAGTCGCTTTGTTTTGATGACAGTGTCCTTTGCTTTACAGAAGCTTTTCAATTTCATGAGGTCCCATTTATTGATTGTTGCTCTGAGAGCCTGTGCTGTTGGTGTTCTGTTCAGGAAGTTTTCTCCTGTACCAATGAATTCTAGGGTATTCCCCACTTTTTTTTCTAGCCGATTTAATGTGTCTGGTTTTATGTTGAGGTCTTTCATCCACTTGGACTTCAGTTTTGTGCAGGGTGATAAGTATGGATCTATTTTCATTTTTCTACATGTAGACATCCAGTTGGACCAGCACCATTTGTTGAAGATGCTGTCTTTTTTCCATTGTATGGTTTTGGCATCTTTGTCAAAAATCAGGTGTCCGTAAGTGTGTGGGTTTATTTCTGGGTCTTCTGTTCAATTCCATTGATCCCCGATTCTGTTTCTATGCCAGTACCATGCAGTTTTTATAACTGTTGCTCTATAGTACAGCTTGAGATTAGGGATGGAGATACCTCCAGATGATCTTTTATTGTAGAAGATTGTTTTAGCAATTCTCGGTTTCTTGTTATTCCATGCGAAGTTGAGAATTTTTCTTTTCAGGTCTATAAAGAATTGTGTTGGCAATTTGAAAGGAATTGCATTAAATCTGTAGATTACTTTTGGTAAAATAGCCATTTTTACTATGTTAATCCTGCCAAGCCATGAGCATGGGAGATCTTTCCATCTTCTCATATCTTCCTCTAATTCTTTCTTCAGAGACTTGAAATTTTTTTCATACAAGTCTTTGACTTGCTTAGTTAGGGTTACACCAAGGTACTTTATGTCATTTGTGGCTATTGTGAAGGGTGTTGTTTCTCTAATTTCTTTCTCAGCCCTTTTGTCTTTTGTATACAGGAGGGCTACTGATTTTTTTGAGTTAATTTTGTATCCGGCCACTTTGCTGAAGGTGTTTATCAGCTGTAGGAGTTCCCTGGTAGAGTTTTTGGGGTCACTCATGTATACTATCATATCATCTGCAAATAGTGATAATTTGACTTCTTCCTTTCCCATCTGTATCCCCTTGATCTCCTTCGACTGTCTTATTGCTTTAGCAAGGACTTCCAGAACTATGTTGAAGAGATATGGAGAGAGTGGGCAGCCTTGTCTTGTCCCTGATTTCAGTGGGATTGCTTTAAGTTTCTCTCCGTTCAGTTTGATGTTGGCTATAGGCTTGCTGTATATCGCCTTTACTATGTTTAGATATGTGCCTTGTATCCCTGATCTCTCCAGTACTTTAAACATGAATGGATGTTGGATTTTGTCAAATGCTTTTTCAGCATCTAGGGAGATTATCATGTAGTTTTTTCTTTCAGTTTGTTAATATGGTGGATCACATTGATGGATTTCCGTATATTGAACCACCCCTGCATACCTGGGATGAAGCCTACTTGGTCATAGTGGATAATATCTTTGATGTGTTCTTGGATTTGGTTTGCGAGTATTTTGTTAAGTATTTTTGCATCAATGTTCATAAGAGCGATTGGCCTGAAATTCTCTTTCTTTGTTGAGTCTTTGTGAGGTTTAGGTACCAAGGTGATTGTGGATTCATAGAATGAGTTTGGTAATATTCCTTCTGTTTCTATTTTGTGGAATAGTTTGAAGAGAATTGGAGTTAGCTCTTCTTTGAAGGTCTGGTAGAATTCTGTGCTGAAGCCATCTGGTCCTGGGCTTTTTTTGGATGGGAGACTTTTGATGACTGCTTCTATTTCTTTGGGGGATATAGGACTATTTAATTGATATACCTGGTCCTGATTTAGCTTTGGTAAGTGGAATCGATCAAGAAAATTGTCCATTTCATTTAGATTTTCAAATTTTGTTGCACATAGACTTTTGAAGTAAGTCCTAATTATTGTTTGGATTTCCTCA